TAATCGTTTTTTAAGTATGAAGCACTCAAAAACGCCATACACTCTAAAGCCTTGTTCGCTAAATTAGTACAGAATCTCGGGATTGTAGTCAGTTCGCCCAGCGTTTGAGTAAACTTGCCTTTGTTGATATCTTTCTTCGCACTACAGTGTTCACTCACAATCAGTTTTGGGAATGAAAATCTTGATAATCCATTCCCTGTGGTAACCGACTGAACCGTTTCTCATGTATCTTCACTTCCATGTCTGTATCCGTTCAATTAGGTCCAATATCGTATGCATCCTGCACTGTCCGCCTTCCCAAGTAACGTTTTTTACGAGGGCAGTTTGCAGAATGGTGTCAGTGCTGAGGACCGATGCAAAAAGATTGATTTTCCATGGCCCAACCCAGATCGACCAATGTTTTTTTATTGTACATCTGGACAGGAGGAAATTTCTGGCAATGGTGTCTCCTACTTGAATCGAACTGAAGCTGCAACAGTTGAGAAAATCGTTACAAAGTAAGCTGTTGAAGCAGTTTGCTCGTCAGCTTTATTTCGTGGTGTAACATTAACACTTATTAAATCTTTTACCGTGTCCTTTCGTTGCGCGTTTTCGCACTTCGAAGGTTGTGTATGTTTGCTGTCATAACGACGTATAAATTACGTTCACGCCCGGTTACTCTTTGCTTCTGAACAGTTGTTTTTATGATTGTTCCACGGAGAAAAACTATGCTCAGAGGTGTCCCTACGCGGGACTCCGTTATGCATGATTAGTGGCTTATAAGTTGCATTTTTACTTCAATTTCTTAATCTTGTACGTCAGCGGCAATGTCAGTTAGCAGAACACCTACTTGGATCAAGTTTTATGGGTAAGAGCTTTAAGAAGCTTGACCAGTGTCTCACAGTTTTGCATTTTCTGATAATAAAATATGCTGGTTGCAATATAGAGTAGTTGGAGGTACAATGAATGAACTGAACTTCGTTTCCACATCTTGAAGTGTACAGCTTTCAGAGGCAGCACGAAACTAAATAAACTGCCAATTTTTTTGTCAGTTAATCTCCCATGCGAACTCAACCCTCCGTTTTATCATTCAGACGTATCGCAGTTTCAAGGGATTTGTTTGTGGCATTCAGCGGGTTAATTAGTAGATATCTGAAGAACAAAGCGAGACCGTTTCCTAACTGTACCATCGTTTATTTTTGGTTAGTCCTAACCATTGAGTTGTCATCCTTACCCGACTTGACGGTCGATTGTTTGAGTTTGACACCACCCGTTCCGGGCTGGTGAATTGATTGTCTGCTATTCTGCCTGTGGTTGCTATGAAGTTCAGCTTAGCTCAGTGATGTCGAATAATAAACAACGGTTTTTGGTTATTCTATCTAATATTCGATAGTCTTTTCATGATTCATAAAATGTAAAATTTTTTTCCTATAGAATGCTGAAGGTGGGCGTCCATCCGAACACGATCGGGGTGATAACGCCTTACGAAGGACAGAGAGCCTATCTAGCGCACTATTTGCATTATTCTGGTTCTTTGAATGCAAAACTATATCAAGAAATCGAGATCGCTAGCGTCGATGCGTTTCAGGGTCGCGAAAAAGACTACATAATATTGTCTTGCGTACGGGCAAATGAAAATCAAGGTATTGGATTCCTGAATGATCCTCGACGTCTCAACGTGGCGCTCACTCGTGCCCGATACGGTCTTATTGTTGTGGGAAACCCAAAAGCACTGTGTAAGGTGAGTGTCCACGGTCTCTTGTTGATATTACAAACCTGGTTATCACAATGGTTAACTCGGCTAACACCTTGTCAGTCGGTGTCGCATAATAATACAATTTCCTTCCCCTTCATAATTCGTATCTATAACAGCAACCTCTGTGGAACCAATTACTTCACTTCTATCGAGATCAGCATTTGCTGGTTGAAGGTCCACTGAACAATCTCACAGAGTATATGCTCCAATTTCCAAAACCAAAAGTTCCATACACCTTCAAACCTGGAGGACATTTCTTAGCGCAACTGGCAGCAAATACGGCTCAGCTAATGAGTGCCAATCAGTTGGCAGCTGGACAACGTGCCACTGGTCCGAACTTCTATCCCCCGGCTGCTAACAACACAGTCAATTCGTTTCCGAACACCCGAGATTCGATTGCCATGCTGGCTGCTGCCGCGGCGGTTGCTGCCTCGGCATACTTTGGAGGTAGTGGTACTGCCGGTGGTGGTCCAGTCAATCCGCCAGCTGCAGGTGCTCACGGTGCGGCCGGCGTAACTCAACCGGGAGCTAGCCACGCGGCTGCTTATGCGTTGGCCGCAGCTGCAGCTGCACAGCACCATTCTGTCCAGAACTATGCAACACACGCAGCTAACACTCAACATAACCTTAATCAACTTGCGAGCCAGTCTTTGTTTGATCAGATCGGCTACATTGGACCCAATCGCCAATTTGCCGCAGCAAACGCTGATTCCAGTGAGTTCTGTTTACGATCTTTATCATATATAGCTTGGTGACGACCAATTAACGGTGATGTTTTGTATTATGCTTCATTGGTCGCACAAATGACCACTACTGTTTTTGTTCTTTTGGATTTTCTGTCAAATGCCCTCACATTTGCTTCAAAACGGTGATTATTCCATAGGGCAATGCTGCCCCCAAAGATTCGCTTATTGTCCCAAGCGGTAGTTTGCTATTCGCTCCTGAAGCGGCTAATCATATCAAGCCCACTGATCCAGTGACTTGAATATACTAATCCGTCGAATACCAGTGCAAGTGAACTGTTTGTCTAGGCAGATAATACATCAAACGGCATTTCCCCTTTCGAACGTGCTTTTTTCACATCAAGTTTAGGTTCCCGTTTACCAAACTCAATAGCGTCTGTGTTATAACCGCTTATGCTCACATCGTAGATAACTGCATTACACAATTTAAAAATCTTCCGGGTTCTTCTTGTTTGCAAGTGATTCGTACAATCGAGCAAAGTAAAGTGATTCGCGCTGCACAGCTATGCTTTCCTGTTGACCCGATTTATCCGCCTCACTAATTTGGTTTCCCCAACACATTACGTGTTAGCGTGAATACGAACTATTGGAGTCTCTGAAATGATTGCTGATATGTGAGATACAGGCCCCAATTATCCAAGAACAACAAGCAGTGTGCACCAATTGGTCTCTCACGAATTTGTCAATCAAAGTCGATGACAACTATAATTGGGATGCTTTTTTACCAGACCCTTGATTTGCATAATTTGCAAATCATGGAACGTTATTCTTTTCATAAAGATTGTTGTACCATGATATTTTGGCACAGTGTAAATTCAGACGTGTTATATATATATATATATATATATATATATATATATATATACCAGAGCGTTGAAAGCTCCTACAAGTAGTAACAATTATAAAGGAGTCGAAGATCATACGGAATGTATTACTGTTGTCGCCCAAGTACCATCACTTGACGATAATTTTCAAGTGAGGCGCCGGAGAAAAAAAGAAAGGGACAAAACTGTCTTTTACTGGATCGTTGTATCTGTGTTCGATGGCTTTCTTGTGAAAAGACGATGTCATGCATAATTAAGCTTATTCAATTCACTGAATCTATCTTGTGGGCTTTCCCCACTTTTTCATCGGTCAAGGTTCTTGAGATTTTGTGTTGAAATAAGAGCTGTTACTGATTTTATCTCAGTCCACCAGCCATCTTCGCTCGTGGTATGAATACGAAAAAGCACCCGTTGTCATTTGTCATAATGACGAACTAAACGCTTGAAAGTGCATACGATGGGAGGGGCATGACTAGATGTATAAATGTAAGGTCGGTAATAGTATGTAGGGCGGTCAAAGAGCTGGGAGTTAACATCAGTGAAATCGTCATTTGATAACTGATGGAATCGCAAGGATTAACTCATAATGTTCCTCAGTTATGCAAGCAGACCGACGTTTGGTTACGGCAATTTACTTCCCGTGCCTGGGCTTGTTTCTCCAAGTAGCCTGATTAAAAATAGGCTTAATGGGAAGAGAGCGTGTCCCTATGATTGTGTTCACAATAAATATCTTTTGAAGAAGTCTCAGCGTTTGTCGATCACAAATGACTATGCCGTTTCTGTTCCTCAGGTCTGCCCATGCCCTTGAGTATGCTTATGCAAACTGGTCGAATACCTGGCGCTTCCGAACTTAACAACTTGGGTAGCCTGTATGGGCAAGCTGCCTCTTCAGGTCAAGGAGTTAATACCAACAAGTTTAACCAAGCAACGGATGCGTTCGGACGTACGAACGGACAAGGTATGAATTTCAACCCTGGATTTGGGCAATTCGGTCCCACAGGTGGCAGTACGCGGGCTCCAGGTGGACCGCTACCTACTGCAAACAACGCATCAAGCACCACCACAGTTCCACGTTATTTGGGTGCAGGTTCAAACCGTAGAACACAAACAACACAACAGAACGTCCCACAGTCACAAATGCAACATGGCAACGCACAGGATTCGCTCACGGGTGCAAATCGCTCTCGGATGATGGGTGTGTCGACAGCCATTGGTGGATCAGGTGTAAATAGCGGTTCCGCTACCGGATTGCTTTCTCAACCCGGTTTGTCTGAGCTGACCAGTACACAAGGAACAACTGGACTTGGAAATCTTGGTGCTTATAGCAGTCAAACTCGTAATTTGGGCCTATCTGGTTTGTCACAGGTCAGTCAA